TTTCAATTCCCAAAATACTATTTTATCAGTTCGAATGTTGTGGTCGTCATCTTTGATGGAAATCGCCTTAACATGTTTGAATTCAACTACAGAACCGTTATAAGATGGTAAGTCACTTGGGATGTGAAAATCAAATACGTCCAACTCTGGTAAGTTTTCATTCACCACATGAAGTAATTCCATTGAAGTTTCCTTCAAGCGCAATTTTTTGAGCCGTTTATTATTTTCCAAGAACTTAAGGAGAGCTGGCGATGGATCGATTTTAGCATTTAATTCCACTAATTTTGGGAATACACGTTCCAGAATATATTCGTCGGTACAATAGCTCAGATTTAAAACACGTAATTCGGGAAATAGTTCGTTGAGTCCTAGTTGATTGCTGCTAACTGTTTTCCAGCTGCCATCAAAAGCGACACGTTGGACCTTCGCAAATGGTTTTGTCATATTGTCAAACACTCCTTCTCCGTTATCTCTAGCACTTAATTCGACCAGCGTCTCGGCACAATATTCATTGACATATTTTCCGATTGCTCTAAGCCAATCCATTGGCTTTATCATAGAATACGCAATTGATAGTCTTTTGATTGATTTACCAAAAACTTTTAAAAAATTCTCGGCCATTCCAGGATCTACGTTTATTACATCGTTCTGGATGAATATTCCATTCCTGCCCATTGTGACATAGTCTATTTTGACGGGATAATCGCCATATTTCCATTTATACACTATATTGGCTTTTTGATGACCAACATCACTTGCTAAGCTGGCATTCAAAAGATCCTCGAGTTCTGATATTTCTAGTTTACGCACAGCTAGTTGGTTTTTGTTCAAACAAGTGGAATAATCCACAATAAAACCGCACACAACAATGAAAATGGTTAATTTCATTTTTACAATCAAATTTCAAACGATTTCAAATGATTTGAGACCAAAACTGAACTGTTTCATTTCGTTTGATTTCAACTCATTTTTAACTCATTGGGTTCTAGATCGTATCTAATCATCTTTTCGACACGTGTCCAGATTTAGCCGTCTAAACCTTGAAATGTAACACAAAGTTTATTTCTTATCAATTTATGTACTGATTTTATCGTATTCTGTTTATCTTTTTTTGAAAGTCTATTGTTTTATATCACAAAAACGTCATTTTTTGTTGTTGTAATAACAGAAAACTTTATTGATTACTTATAATATTATTCACAAAATTTCTGTTTGTTTTGTTGTTTGACCTCTACTCACTCCTGTACACAATGCTTTTGTATTTCTCAGAACTGTGGTTATCTACAATGTTGTTTTTGTTGTTTTATACATTTATTCATTCTTATGCTATAAATCACTGCTTGATTAAGCTTGATGTTTGTTTTAACACGTCATCATATATAGGCTAATCTCACACACAGAATATGACAGCGAATTAACACTTACCGCCATCTATGGGAGTGACGTTAAGTGTTCTGAATCAATCCCATCTTACAATTCAAAGTGTTCATACAAATGAGTTAACGCTAGGAAAATGTCTAGATGGCGTTAAGAGTCCGTGTCAAATTCAATGTATTGATTGTCCATAAACATGCTCTAAGTGTGGCAGTGGCTAATCTTTCATTTTCCAGGCACGCGTTATTATTATTCAACCAGTGTTGTAAATTTTGCCATTTTAATTACATGCGCATTTGTAAGGTTTCGTGGAAGCCGTTGATAAAACGATTAAAAAAACATACAAAAAATATACGGATTTTGATGAAAATTGACACAGACGTAATTCAGGAGATAAATTTTAATATCCACCAAGTTTCAAGTCGATGCGACCTTCCAGAGCTGAGGAATTGCCGATGGAAAAAATGTAATTAAAAAAAAAGCAATCATTGCGTGTAATCATTACTTTTTTTTAATTACATTTTTTCCATTGGCCATTCCTCAGCTCTGGAAGGTCGCATCGACTTGAAACTTGGTGGATATTAAAATTTATCTCCTAAAATATGTCTGTGTCAATTTTCATCAAAATCCGTATATTTTTTGTTTTTTTTTAGTCGTTTTATCAACGGCTTCCACGAAACCTTACAAATTTTGTAATTGCACTTTTACAACTCTGTATTCAACCACTATGTGACTAGATAAAATCTTGCCAAGAAATTTCTGCTCATTAGTGTAATACATTTTTTTTTCATTCCTAAATTACATAATTTTTGACTTAAATTGATGAAAATTTTCGACTAATTAAAGAAAAAAAATGCTCGAAATCAAAACTAAACATGTAAAAGTTAATGTTATGCTCCTATAGTTCGATGATGCTCCACCTTCTGTTGTTGTTTCGATTCCGTTTTGCGTTGAATTTTCAGCACCACTCGCTTCTGTTGGTTGAGTGTTATTTTCCGTTTCATTTTGATCATTTTTTTCGGTTGAATTCTGAGTATCAGTTTCTATTTCGGGATCAGCACTTGATCCTGTTTTCGTTATACTAAGAGCGGCTGGAGTACCATTCACTGGGGCAATTTTCCATTCTTTCTTCAATGTTTTAGCTAGTCTCTCAGTAAATGTTACGGATTCTGTAGGTGTATTCATAGTCAAGGTGACTGCCTCTATATTTTTATTCTTTTCAATGAATTGAGCAACGGTATCGCTATCAGTGAAAATATTACAACGCAGTTTTGCTTCGATTAAACTGCCCGTTTTCCTTGTAAGTTCCATAAGTGATGTGTTGTTCAGGTATCCTACCGATACAAAAAGTTTTTGCAATTTTTTGTTATCGCCAATAAAATCGATCCATTCGTCGTTAATTTCATTATACACTTCCATTGTAAATTCATTCAATTGTTTGAAACCGAATTTCGATGCTATGAAACTGTTGAATGTATCTGTGATCAGAAGCTGCGTGACATTTTCAAAATAAAATATCGAACCATTATACTGTTTCAATTCTTTGGGCACAGTGAAAGCAAACTCTTCTAGCTCTGGCAATTGCTCACTTACAACCTTGAGAAATTCGACTGACGTGTCTTTGACTCGTAGCTTCTTGATTTGTGGATTATTTTTGATCAGCTTCGCAAAACCAAAGGAAGTTCGTTGGTCCGCTGTCAATTCCACCAAATGTGGATAATTATGATCAAATATGTAACCCTCTTCATAGCTTAAATTCAAAATTCGCATTTCAGGAAACAAGTCACCAAGCTCTAATGATCTTTTGTTCAACACCTTCCATTCACCATTGAAAGTGACCCGTTGAACCTTTTTAAACGGTTTTCGCATATCATCAAGTGCACCTGGGACGAACTGACAATATTGACATTCTGCACGAAATTCGACTAAGGTTTCATGACAATAGATGTTAACTAGTTCTCCAATTCTCCGTTGTTTGAATGTTGGAATGAAATTATATGCGATTGATAACTTTTCTATTGAATTTCCAAACGCCTTCAAAAATTCCTCAGCCAATGCATAATTAATATATAAGTTTTCGTCTTTTGATAAACACACATCACTCCATTTCGAAACGTAGGTAATTTCAAATAGTTTCTGGCCGTAGTTTTGCTTGTATATGGCATTCGCTTCTTTATGACCACTTTCACTTTGCTGAGAATCATTCAAAAGATTCAAAACCTCTACATATTTTTTCCATGGATAATCTTTTCCATCGGTAACAATTTCATTTGATGAACAGGAATGAAGAACACCGAAATAGCACAAAATTAAGAAAAACTCAACTTTCATTTTGTTTTTCTTCCAAAATAATCTTTTCAACAAGTAAGTTGGTCAGATTAATGAAATTTGTCTAAATAATGTCTATCGAAAAACTAATGAAATTTGGAATGATGCAACATATTTTGATCATTCGAAATTTCAAAATTTATGAAGAAAGAAATCCTATCTTATCGCGTACCTTTTGTTTTAATTACAATTCCAATTCTATTGTTTTACTTGATTTCTTCGACGTGGGCGCAACATTGTATTCCGCCACAATCACAGATTCATTGTTTTATTTAAAGATAATGGACTATCATGAAGACATGTCATGTCAATTGAAGAGAAATTTAATTACATAATTGAAAGATTCGCATGGTTTCGCAATGGTTAGAATCTGAATTATAACGGAGTACCAAATTGATGCCTCATTTTGAGTAAGTACTTATTTGTAGTGTTTGCAACTGTAGATTTTTGTTTGGTGATATTTTGAACGACGCAATTTCCTATTGCATCGTATCAACTACGTATTAGTTTTATATATCAAGCTGAATCAACTCAGCTGATAAATGTATCACAAGAGCATCACTACAATCCAAACTCCCACATTGTCCATTGATTCAAAGCACTCCAGTTCTGGCGAACGGATTCGCCGAATTGTTTGCGTCGACAAATTGCAATCTATCGTCGACAAATTAACGAAGTTTTAAAGTTTGATTTGCAAATTTTCTTTCGCTCATAAACCCAAGCGCGACTCCACACTTAGCTTCTAAATGTGACCCCGTAGTAAGTGTGAGCATTCGTTTTGCGAATAAGCGACAAAGAGAATGGAAACAAGTGCGCGTGTGGTAGTGAGTAGCCTGATGCGATGCTACTCAATGTAGCGACTAATACACGCGCACTTGTTTCCATTCTCTTTGTCGCTTATTCGCAAAACGTATGCCCACACTTACTACGGTGTCACATTTAGAAGCTAAGGGTGGAGTCGCACTTGGGAAGCAACACTTAGTTGAAGGTATTATGAAGTGTACGTTTTTGTCCAACGCAAGGTCAAAGTCAAATAAATTTTCATCGACAATTTTATCTCGTATTCTTAACCGAATCGCGCGGTTAAAACAATAACTGACCACAGTGATGAAATACATGATAATATGCTTCGTAATATTTCTGAACCTGCTGATCATACTGATCTGCGCAAATATATACAGTAATCTAAAATTAGTCATGCGATTATAAAGTACATTATAATTTGAATAACTTCAAACTGTGGTGTAAACTATTAAATTATCGAAAAGAATGTTCTCGAATTGATAAATCTAAAGCGGTTAAATAATTTGCAGTGCATTCATTAGGTATATTTCCCCATTTATTTTCCAACGAATGAAAATACAATTCCAAACCACTGTTCTGATCTTATTAACAGATTTATCTTTCACATCAAAACCTAAAATTTACATATTGTTCAATTAATTCTTTTATCCGGAATTAGGCCTGAAGTCAAAGATCCGCCGTCGACCTACAAATGATTTGAAATAAGGAATGAATAATATGAAAAAAGTACACCAAAATAACTGTAATTATAAAAAGTTGTCTTTTCTATGAGCCGATTGTGGTAGTAATAACTTACCGGGAGTAGAATTCCAGTCAAGAATGATGCCGATTTATCATCGGCCAAGAATGCAATCGCTGCACTGGTGTCTGCTACTTCTCCAACTCTGCCAACGGGATACATATTTTCGACTTCACCATAAAATTTATTGGCTTCATCAGTAGCTAGGCCATATGATTGGAGGAAAGCAGTTCGAATTGCAGCCGGATTAACACCGTTGACTGTCAAAATGATCACCGATTAAAACACATCACATTTTTATTTAAACCTTGCTGTACATACCTCGTATTCCCTTCGGTGCCAAATCCAAAGCTGAACATTTCGTAAATTGATCCAAGGCGGCTTTGCTCATGCAGTAACTCATGAAATTTGGAAATGCTTTCAGGCCACACACACTCGAAATGTTCACCACATTGCCTGATGGACATGCAAAAAAGGAATATTCATAGGTGTCATAGACTATATGAGGCTGTGAGAATGAAAATGGCAATACAGGAATAAACATTTTGAAACGCATCAAGAAAAAAAATTCGCAAAAATGAATCATGAGCTCTGAATATGCAAAAGTGAAACATGAATTTACATGGGCAGCATAGGAGGTTCATGGTTCACTTTTGCGTATTCAGAACTCATGATTCACTTTTGCGAATTTTTTTTTCTTGATGCGCTTCAGAATGTTCATTCATGTATTGCCATTTTCATTCTCACAGCCTCATATATGATGTATGTTATTTTACCTTTGGTTTTTTCCAAATGTGGAACACAAAGTTTGGTTAGTGTGATGACGGATCTTATGTTTGTATCAAAAATACTATCAAATTGGGATAAGTCGGCTTCAGCCACATTATCTGGCTTTCCATAGCCCGCATTGTTCACAAGCACATCCAATTGGCCAAACTTCTTGATCGTCTCGTTGACAATTCGTTCGGCGTCTTTTGTTACATCGGCCACAATCAATAGCGGAGCTGCTGCACCTGATTTTTTAATTTCATCAGCAACTTTATTGAGTCGCTCCGCATTTCTTCCCACAATTGATACCTTTGCACCCAATTTTGACAAATGGCGTGCAGCATCTTCACCGATTCCGGAACTTGCGCCAGTTACAATCACAACTTTTCCAGTGAAACTCATTTTTCAGTTTGTCTTTATCGTACCCACTACTGGTAATAACTCAACTGTAAAGGTTAAACTAGAGTTAAACTAGAGAGTTATTGTGTGATAAGCACATTCATTTATACAATCGGTACAGCGATGCTATCTATCTATTTGCAGTATGGAACACATTCCAAATTGAAATGATGTCATTTTACAATATACTACGACACAAAAAAGCGCTGGCACTCATCAACATATGAGATAGAGTTGGTGTTTACAAACACAGAGATTGGACTATCGCATACTTCAACAGCTCGTCGAATCAAATATATACCGACCTCGTTGTGATTTGACTGATAATGTGTAACGTATGAGTGAAATTAGGAGTGTTGGTCATGGTCGTGGTCGTGATTTGTGACAGATAGAATTTTCTCGAAATCTATCAATTTATCATTGATTAGAAGTTTGACGATCAAGTATTTCCTTCTAATGAAATAGGTAAAAACGACAATCAATTTGCAAAAGTACTTCATTTGTCATTTTATGACTTGAGTATGCATGGTAACTTCAAAAGCAACTCAAACATATGGACAATCTTTTAATTTAATGACTAAAATTATTATAACCAGAGGTCTCGTTTTCTCGGTTTATCTCTTCCCATTCGTTCGTCGCATCAGCGTAGCCGCTACTTGCAAACAGCAAAGATACGTGCTACTCGCAGTAGCTCCGCGATATTACGAAATATATTTTGAGAGCAAATGAGACCTCTGATTATAACCCTAAAAGCATTGAACTGCCATCCACCGTGAGCAAGATACCAGCCAAAAATGTGTAGCACCGAAATCAAAACAACTTTACCCGAAAAACATATGTTAAAATCAAGCGTTCGTCATAGAATAGCTTGGCATGCACTCGATTTAATACTCGGTATTATATACCGGTATATCGCACACGCAGAGCTGACGCACGCACCTCTCTCGCGCGCAAACGCTTCGAGTTGTGAGTGTATGCCATGTGGTTCTGTGTCTGAATTGGTTGCGATCGTTGTGTATGTAAATGTGTGCGTGCGAGAGAAGTGCTTGCGGCAGCTCTGCGTGTGCGATATACCGGTATATAATACCGAGTATTAAATATAGCGTCTGCTAAGCTATACTCTCACGGACGCTTGGTTAAAATCCACTTACAGCACACCACAATACGAGACACATTGAAATGATGGTGGTTGAAATCTAACATTCTATCATAATATTATTTATCATAGTATGCGTCCAATAGTGTTTAATTATTTAGTATTGATAAAACTCACATTTCTACCACTCTTCTAGTTTGGTACAATTCAACCATAACCAGTTCTTTTATTTATTAAAAAAAACATTCTTATTGTTCTCTGTAGTCACCGATATTTTGATGAATCATTCCACTTTGCCATGTTGATGTAGAGTAGAGATTTTTTTTCTTCTCAAAAAATCATGTAAATAATAAATTCAATCAAACGACGTGAAAACATTACATCATTCCAGTTTATGCAAATCGATCTATTAGTGATTCAATTGAATTTGAATGGCGCACAATGCAGCGCCGATCCTAAGCTAATGTGTAACATTTTGAACTTTAATTAGCGATTTGATTGCCCATTGATTCGGAATGTATGTGTTGACCTCAAAATTTGTGGTATCACAAAATATTCGATTGTGCAATTGTGCATTGCAATTGAAAGTTAAAGGTATCACTTGGTTTGCAAAACGACTGAAATACAAGTTGAATTGACACTTTTGCAAAAAGAGAACCCTTCTATTCGTGCTGCAATAAAATATTATATTTTGGATATCAGATTTTTACTAAAAATCATGCAGTTACATCGAATGAAACTAAAGAATTTTTGAATAAACAATTTCACATATTTACGCAAGCACCAATTGGTGCGGAGACTTTTTCTCACCTAAAACTATTCAAAAGCCGTATAGTTTATTGAATTACCTCAATTATTCTAAATAAACCAAATCCTAATTTCCAATGCAAACCAATTCTTTTACCGCGAATTTCTCTGTTCAATTCTATAGAGGTTCGAAATGATCTGTATGTGATGTACAAGAGTGCTTACTTACTTAGTATCCGTCTTATGAAAAATCTTATATTATTTGACGCCGCAAAATTTTTGTTCCGTTGAAGTTGCTATTTTCAATTTTTTCAGGCTACGAAAATATAATGGGATCACTGTAAATATGCTTGATAAATCAAAAAAAAAAATCATTTTTTCTAAATGAACTTCGTGTTGGTCCCTTTATTGTTTCTTCTATTCTATTAAATATTTTCGTGATTTAAATGAATAAATTACAACAAAATTAAGTAAACGAGTAAATTTTAATCATTTTCAATGTTTTCATTAATACAAAAAAAGGTTTTTTTCCCAATTATTGCATTTGTTGGGTCTTAATGTAAAGCGGTTAAACGAAAAAGGTGCATCGCAAGTTACATGCCATTCTTCGCTAAAACACGTTCCAATATTATCTTCGGAGATAATATTTGCAGAAATCTCGAAACTAAAACTTTGCAAACTCCTGAATATGGGCAAGTATCCCATTATAATATCGAGTGTCAGTTTCTCGCCATCAAAATGTTGAATGATATTAATACTTTGTAATGTGGGCAAGGCTTCCACAAGTTTTAAACTGTTTTCGAAACTGATCAATTGCGTAGTTTTAATAGTAATTTTTTCTATGGATTTGTGTCTCTTGATGAAGTCAATGAAAGAGTCATTCCATTTATAGCCGCCTTCTATGGTTAACTCTTTCAATTGGTTTAGTAATAAAGGAAAGTTCATTTTGGAACGAAAATATACAGTTAAACATTCAACATTGGGAAACTGTATTAAATCGCCGCTGTAATCACCCCTTCCTGTCAAAATATTTAAATTTTTGACAGACTCAAGATATTTTGCAATGAAACTTAGAACATCAAATTCAAGAAATTCTATTGCAAAACTTCGTAACTGAGGGTTCAAACGTAACATATCAACGATCGCTTGTTTATTCTCATCTATAACTTTTGCATGAAAATTACCAAATTCCAAATGTTCTAAATTTGAGAAATGCACCGCTGGTGTGATAGATGCAGGATTACACTTAGTTGAACAAATTAAATGACGTAATTTTGGGAAAATGGTTCTCAAATTGCAATTGTCTGACGGAGAGTCCTTCAATTCGACTGATTCAACGTTGGTAAAAGGTTTCTTGAATTCCTCAAGAGGAACACGGGAGAACAGGTTGCTCATTTCAATTTTGGTCAACGACTCAGCACAAAATACATTTATGTAGCTCATGAGGCGATTGAGTCTTCGAGAATTAGGATATTGGTTGTAATACAATAAGTTAATGTCGACCAATTTATGTCCAAAGCAGCGTAGCATTTGCAAGGCAGTTTTGAAATCTCTGATAGATATTGTTGTCTCCGAATTCCTGATGTTCGCAATCGAAATACCGCGCTGAATGAGACTTCCATATTTTTCACCAAAACAATCTTTTTCTAGCGCGATGTAGATAGTTTTCTTTGCGTTTTGTCGAGCATATGGTGAATGAGTTGCAAACTGTAGATATTTATTCGCATTGGCAACATTGAGAAGGTCCTCCAAATCTAAGTACATGAAGATTTTCTCCAAACAAAATTGATTTACGTCCGTAATCTTAGTTGGATTTTCCGATTGAACGATGCTCTCTGCATTTTCCTGGTTGATACAATTATTTGGTAGCTCTTCGCAATCCCGTTCATCATTAAGTGGGAATCCTTCCATTTTGGAACAACACTGCAACCAAAATACAGAAATCAATTAGGAATAAATTTTGTGTTCAAGTCAGAACTTGAAAAGATGCCGTGTGATTTCTACTAACATTATTGTCACTCCGTTTATTTTTCTAAGGTTTTCTGAATAGGTTTGATTTTATTCCATTAAATTAATTTTTAAATTGAATTCAAACTATTCTTCAAATATTTTACTAGACGTCTTCTCGGCTTGCTGTGTTAATTGCAACTGTCACAGTTTGTATATGGGTATGTTCACTACTTGTGCATCGCATAAATTTTTGGACGAAGACATTAGTGAATGCAACAAGAAATGAATATTTTCATCCAGCTTTTTATCTTGTAATTTACATTTAAAAAAATTCTTCGAGTTTTTCTTCACTGCACACAAATGGAAAATATCGTCTTCCATTTATTGTCGAATCAAATTGAGCATAAATGAGACGGTGCTCATTGTAATTCTGGATTTTGAACTTCTGCAAACATGCAAGAGCAGGAACAAGGAACAAAAGAGATAGAGAATACCGTTCAACACAGTCATATCTCTTAAAATTTTTACGAACTTGTCATATGACTGCCGAATGTGCACACAGTAGCGTGTTTGCGAAATGAATTTTTTCAAGTAAAATTCTCTTTAAAAACGATTTAATTCGTGCAAAACATTTTTTGTACGAAAAAAGAGCTGTAAAAATTATAATTACGATAAATATTTGATTCGAACAATCCGAAATTGTTTGAAAAAAAAAAACAGCGCATGTCCATTTATACTTACGATGTACTGCAATTGTTTGTGATTGGATTTGTTTAGAGAAATTGCCAAAAAAATATGTTGTCACGTTTCACTTTGTGAAGCTGTTGCATGACAGTGCAATTCGTGTATTTCTGAAAGCCTAAACGCTGTACCTAACTTGGTAGTTCCAAATACACATCGAAATAAAATTGTCCAAAAATTGTGTGATAAAGCTTAATGAAACTTTTTGTTTATTATTTTTTTTTAATCATTTCGTGGTGCTAGAAATATATGATTAAATGCTTTGAAAATTAGTAAAAATTAATGATTTTCTTGTTAATTTCCGCTCTTCGAGGTATTAACCAAAGAAATTAAGCAATGCCGAGCGAAAATATGATGACTGATGTTATACTGGAGAATATTTAAGTTGCGTTTTTAATCAGATGCAATTGGTTTTGATCGCTTTGTGATATTGAATGATAGATTGGGGTTGATTCAGATTACATCATTGGTCGTCCCATACCGCGACCGGGCATTTGTGGTGCTTCGCCACCTGCTTTGGGACTTTTGATTGTTTCATCCACAGACAGAATCAAGCAGGTTGCTTCGCCGGCTGCTTGTAATGCATTCAATTTAATCACTGATGGTTCCCAGACGCATGCTTCGAAATTGTCGGCAATGTGCTCTTTGCCCACATCAACACCGTACCAAGCATTTCCTGTAAACACAAACAAAACACTTAAGTTTCGACTCGAAACCGACGAAAAAAAGTAGTTTGAAATGTTACCTTGTGCATGCTTTTGACGCAATTTGTTCAAGATGTTTGTTGCATCGAAACCGGCATTGTCACACAATTGACGTGGAATAATCTCCAAAGCCTTGGCAATGGCGCCGATTAGCAATTGTTCTTTTCCAGCAATTGTGCGTGAGTGATCGCGTAGCATTTTTGACAATTCCATTTCGATGGCTCCGCCACCGGCAACGACTGAGTCATTCTTGATCGTACGACGAACAATCATAATGGCATCGTGCAATGATCGCTCAGTTTCTTCTAAGAACTGTTCGGAGCCTCCCCGCAAGATCAGGGTGCATGTTTTTGCGTTGATGCAGCCTGTGTCAATATGGAATTAGGTTAAAAAATCATTTCAATTCAACTGATTCGAAAAAATGCATCTTGAAAACATGGCTTGGCTTCAAAATATGAGCCGAATAGACGAATGGACGGATAAATGCTTACCTTGGAAAATATTGAAACGTTCGCCACCGATTTGACGTTCTTCGAACAGTGTGCAGTTACCCAAAACGCTGTCATTCAAATCGTTGACCGTGGTCATAACGGCACCACCGCAAGCCTTCATTGTCCGCCGCAAGTCTTCTTCTGGGACACGTCCAGCGCAGAACATGTCACGATCGGCAAAATATTGTGTGGCCACATCTCCGATTGGTAGTTTCGATAGAACCACATTGGCGCCCGATTCGTGAATTTTAGCCAATTTGTCGTACAAAATTTGCCATTCGGCATCAACAACTTTCTGATATTCAATGACATTGTCAACGCGCACCTCCGCATTGTCACGTTCGGCTTTCAATTCCAATTCAATGTTAAGCAAGGCGATTTTACAGTTTTTGTATGTTTTCGGTTGCATTTCGAAGCCAGCATATGAGAAGGTCTTTTTGAAAGCAACGCCCGAAATCAGCTGTGAATCTTCCAAGGCACCACCGCTCACCTTCTTAATACCGATCATGTTCAATGGCAGCAATTCGTCCAAAAGGAGAACGGCATCGACGACCATTTTCGAGAAGAATTCCTTCTGTTGATGAATCAATTTCGAGTTTAGTGCGGTGGCTGCGCACTTTTCCAACAGGGCTCTCTGTTCTTCTGGGTTTGAATTGTCGATTTTCACTGCTAATTGATTGATTTTCTCGTGACACAATTGCAATGCACGACGAACAGCTTTGATAATAATGCGCGGATGAACGCCTTCTTCAACGAATGGTTTGATTTGCTTCAAAAATTCACCGGCCAACAGTACAACACTGGTGGTACCATCACCGACCTCGGCATCTTGTGACTTGGCAATTTCGACCAGAGTCTTGGCGGCCGGATGCACAATATCCAACAATTTCATGATTGTCGCACCGTCATTCGAGATAGTTGCTTTACCGTTCACATCGACAATCAATTTGTCCATGCCACGGGGTCCGAGTGTTGTACGCACTGCATCAACAATCATTTGGCACGCATTTATGTTTGATATCAATTGCGGCTTTCCTTGTGACGTATCCGTGCCCTCTTTCAGCAAAACGATTTGTGGTTGCTGAAAATGAAAGAAAAATGCATTAGACAAACACATCATTTTGCGGCATTTTAATTCAAAAATCGGTCGGCATGCTATTTTAGGAACATTCGAGACGGTCTATGCACACAGCCAAACAAGCGAAAATGTGAGGTTATGTTTTCATGTTCGGTGACTAAGTTTTTCCGGAAATTGACATATCATCGGATTTTATGCATGCAATTGCATTTTTGACTTGAACAATGCAACATTTTCATTAAATTCCAATGGAAATCCATTGCCGAATACGGAATTTACGGAGGCGAAAATTCCGGAACGAAGCACATGACAACTAACGCTATGGTTATACCGCACATGTGAGATTTCTTTGTCATAAATTCACACTCAAATTCACACTTTTGCACCATTTTATCCATCGATTTTTAATTAAATATCGAAAATTTTCTACTTCAATTTACCATTTTCATCATTTTGTTGCGGATTTGCTAAATTTTTCCAACAAATTAAACACGAAAAATTCACAGCGGTGTATCAACTCTTAGCAACTATATGAAGCTCGGTTTGAATATAGCCGTGCCTATATGCGAATGACAGATTCTCCACAGATGACTAATAGTCCGTGTGAACATGACGTAACGCACACAAACAAAGCCACCCATGATTATGGGAATATTCCATTGGAAGGCATTGGAAATGAACGAATCCAATGTTTATGTATATTTCAATTGGAATTTCAGTTTTGTGTCCGTTGGTAAATCATTTTTGATTTTTCTGCTTTGGCACTTTCTTTTGTTGCAACGAACTTTTTTTTGTCATAGCTCTGACGGAAAAAGGTCAGAATTTGCATAATTCAAAATCCCCAAATTATATTTTTGCAAAGAGATCTATGAGGCAAGCGAAAATTATGTACATTTGATGCACTGGCTGCAATGAAATAAAAAACAGCTGATTCGCTGTGATGTGTGAATTTCCATAGACTTTATGGTGCAACTGCTGCTACTGTTGTTGCATAGGGTGACAAAATGCTCTCATATTTCTTGATGCTAACGTCATTTTGTGTTTGCAGTGGGAATTTTAAAGATTAGTGTCGGATATCAGACAATTTTATCTGATTATATACCAGTGCTACCGCGAAAGCAAGTGAAGTGCGGAAAAAATGATGATTTCCCAAACATGGGTTCCCTAATGCATTGCACGTGCAACGTGCATATATTGCACATATGCATCGCTATAGTCAAAGGATATAGATACCTATTGTACATATATATCTATACGTATGCAATGGAAAAGTGAACTGCGACCACTGCATTGAAGTTGATTTTCTTTTTCGTTCATTTGTCGCTATCGCAAATTTTAGTCTCATTCATGTTTGAGTGGGAAAAGTGTTTTTTTTCACATTTCCTTTAGCAATTTTATAATTGCTACTTGGAGTGAACTTCCATACAGTCATCAAATAATAAAACATACGAAATTTTCTTTTCATTTCCCAAACATGGACTGAACGAAATTTAACAATGAAAAGTGTCTTTTCGCATTTTAAATTCATACAATTAGCACATACAAGTATATTTTTGATAAATTTTTTTTTCTTTTTTTTGTTTGACATAAGTAAGACAGTTTTTAAAACGGGTATACAAGTGAATTTTTAATGAAACGTAAAAATAATCGTTAGCAAAGAAAATACACCAATCTAAATTAGTGCACAAATGGTGTCGAACCTTATCGCATGCATATAAAGAACAACATCGAAAGCAATTTGGAAAACATTAACGCAGCGGAACACACACACCAGCCAATCAAGTGGTAGCTTAACATAGACGAACGATATCATTTCGCACGAAAATTGTAAATTGTGCTCTAAATACAGACAGTTTGTGTTCGTGTGCAAAAGTTTGCACGAGTAGCACAGCGAATCAAGGTCGGCTGAAATATGGTTGATTTGCAAGCAAGCGATCAGAATAATTGTCGAAAATGTTCCGATGGTAAAGTGAAAATTTTAATGGATCGAACGCCAAGCTTTTTAAAATCGAAATTTTTATCAGTGCTCGGCAGTAGTAATGACCTAATTAATGGGCTCACCACAAAGGTACGGGTATATTTTGTGAACATGTGCGTAGCATTTGTGTTTGGATTGTAATGTGTTGTGGTTTTGGATTTTAGCTTGATATTTCAGCCAACATGAGTTCATCGTCAGAATCACATTCCAACGATCGTGATTCGAATAAGAACAGCGCCAAACAAGCCGATGAAGGTGAAGTGATTATTCACGTTTATATTTTTTTTAAATAGTTGTACTTTATATTACTTTGTTTTGGAATAAACTGTCTATTATGATTAATCGAATGCGCTTATTTTAAACCATAGTCTCTTTGGATGAAAATATAATTGATTTTGAATCGCGAAAAGTGAAAGAGCGTCGAGCTCATGACGAAGTATCAACGGGAAAATATCGTCATCCGAACTTTATAGCACGTAAGAAAATCGAATGATTGTAAACAATTTAAAAAATCCATAGTGAAATATGCAATTGCAGGGAGTAAGGCAACGAATGCGAAAAAATGCAACATAATCGATACAAATCCAGAGTCTTCATTTAGCGAAAGTAATAGTAATTCGATGTTATCAAAAACCCCAACGTCGGTGCACACATTGGCCGGTGACGTGCCCAAGGCAGATTCAATCGATACGAATCAGCACATGGACAAAATGAGCTTATCGATTCCACCAGGTTCTATAAATTACGCTTACATTGTAACCTGAGCACTTTATTGAAAAGAATGTTCTTTCGTTTGGCCTAGGTACTGCCGCATACGTTCCGAATAGCGAATTAGACCTTCAGCAATTCAGTTTGAGCGAGGCCTCAGTTGAATTAAAACGATGGGATTATTCAAATTCCGATCATTCCATACAATCGCTAAAATCGATTGCGAGTCTCGAAAGTCATTGCGAAGATGATACACTGGATTTTATGCGACGCTATGTGGATATTCTATTTGACAATAGTGCACAGCTAACATTGGAGCTGAAATCCGATTTTGGCCTTAAGTCAAGGGTAATTCGGTTTTCTGTCTCTCTTTCTCTCTCTCTCTCTCTCTCTCTCTCTCTCTCTCTCTCTCTCTCTCTTTCAAGAACGATTTTTTCTCTCTTAAACAATGGATTCACATACTAACTTATTCATTCGCAGACTGAAATCGGACGACTGTTATTTGCCCGTTTGGTCAGTGCACAACGTGCACGTTCGAAACGTGTTAGTGAAAATACATTTTATTCATTGGTCCAGCATTTTGCCATCGTTTTATTCGAATGCAACGAAATGGATGACTTTTCACCGGCCAAAATCCTGATGAACATGTGCTTCACCTTTTTCTATGAAGGTAAAATCTTGTCTTGATAACCCATTGCAAATTTATATGGAATTTTTGAATTAAATCCAATGGAAAATGTTTCAGTTGAAGTGCCTGGATGTGAACCATATCGAGAATATCTCTATACATACCTGCGTTATCAGCCAATTTGGCAAGCGATTCGCTTTTGGAATGCCGCTTATTTTGATGCCGTACAAAGTGAACGAAGCCATCGTCCAATTCCACAAACAATCACCGTCAAAATCGAGTCTGATTCGAGCGATGAGGATCTGAGCTCCGGTGCGAAATCCGTTCAACGACATTTAGCTAGAGATGTTCAAACCAATTTGGATATGATAAAAGACGATCAAGAATTCCAACGAAACATTTGTTTCGGACAACTCGGGTAAGATGCGCACTTTGAATTTCCGATTATGATTAATAATATTTTTCCATCAATTTTTCTGTCTGTGCAGCACATTCACCTGCAACATGCATGCATTTGGTCTAAACAAAGAGCTCTGTGATGAATTTCTACGGAAACAAAGCGTTATTTCGAATATAACCAAAGGTAAGGCAACACTTCACTGCAGTGCTCTAATGTGAAATGCTATTGGCTATTGCTTGTTTTTTTTTCTCAAATCGAATACAGAACCACGAGTGTATCGTATTACCCTTTTTCAGAACAAGAGAAGATGTTGCACGACAATATCAACCGAATGTACAAAGAGACAGATAAATGGCGAGCCAACTAAACAACTTCCGATAGCGTCAAACGATAATGGCCTAAATTTTAAGAAAAAAAGAATCGTCAACACAATTATATATTTTCCTGAATCTCGTAGCGATTTTAGAGACCGCTATCGTACTATATAGCCAGATCACAAATTTTTAGATAGGTGCTGTTAGTGTTAATAACTTCAATCACAATATGAAAACAATTTCCGTACATTTGTTTACAAAACATTTATTTTCTAATGATAATGACAAATCTAGATAATTACTATATTCTCTCTGTGTCTTCTACTATCAATTTTAATTCAGTTGGTTATGGTTGCCACAATTATGAAATAAATATGAATTCGATTATAAAAATGTTAAGACGAATGAATTGTTTCTGGCCATTTTTATTCGCACTTAATGTAGAATTGATGTACATATAGCTTATAAATAGAAATAGACATTTATAAGCTATAGACGATTATTGACAAAAACATCATCGTGTCTGAGGAAAACGTACATCTTTGCCTGTCTATTTCCTGGGTAAAAATTTATATATAGAAAACACTCAACATTGGTATTCAAAAATAATCATCTTTTTCAAAATGATAAACAATCTTGAAATATGTGGGAAAAGATGATTTATATTAATATATTTTCTCCAAACAGAATTGATTCACGTCTGTAATTTTTGTTGGGTTGTTTGATTGAACGGTGCTCTCAACTCTTGTCTGCTTGCAGATATTATTCTGTACCATGTCATCTTTTTGTTCATCATTTGGTGAGAATTCTTCCATTTTGTTTATTACTGTAACAAAAAAAGAATTCAATTATAAAATTGTGTATCGTGGAATATCCCATGTAATTTCTACCAACATTATTCACACTCCTTTTATTTCATTGGATCGCAAATTGCTTTATTCTAATAAATTGGTTTATCATTTGAATATTTCTTTTAACGTCCACTCGGCTTGCTGTTTTAACTGCAACTGTTATAGTTTTAGTTGGCTTTGGGTATTAGAGCCGCACACCCTTTTCGGTCGCACCTAATTACACTGTTTCCAGGTAGTAGTTCAAAGTACAGCGAGCAGTTAAAAAACGCCTGAAACTAGAAGTAAATCACTTGCATAAACAGATTTGTTCACATAACACATCGGTCAATAAGTCCCGAGCCTAACCACCGTATGGCGCCACTAATGAAATATCCACATGATTTTTCGAAAGTACCAACCTTCAAAAGATTACTGTCAAAATTTCATGACATTTGGACTATTATTTACCTAGTTACAGTGGTTTAAGTGACGCTACTTTTGTAATTTTCAAAACAATGGATTCAAAGCAATTTCGTGTGTTGATTTATCATTGCTATTTAATGGGTAAAAATACCGTTCAGGCTGAGGAATGGCTTCAAAAGTGTTACCCGGGCTCTGCTCCATCAATTGCAACCATCAAACGATGGTTTGCCGATTTCAAACGTGGTCGTACGGACACCGATGATGCTGAACGCTCTGGTAGGCCAAATGAGGCAGTTATTCCAGAAAACATCACAAAAAAATCGAAGAATTTTGTTCTTGGTTAAATGGGTATGTTCACTTCAAGCTGAAAAAAAGTCTGTTAACAAAAACTCTATCGTGTCCGTGTAGAACGTACATCTTTAATTTAATCTGTCAGTTTCTAAAAACATTTATATGAACATTCAACATTTATTATATCTAAGAAAATACTATTTTTTGTTGCTGTTTTTTTTTTCATGTCAAAAGGTTGAATTCATACGATAATTTTGCGGTCAGTTTGAAGGGGAAGTTTCTGTCACATCACTGAAGATATCACTTTTGCATGTCATCTGCTGCTTTAGTCTAAACACCTGACGCACTATGTGCAACTTAAATAATAAAATCTCTATCGACTTGCATCTGAATGTAAAAACAATGTCAAATACACATTTATATATAATTCTAGTATGAAAAATAGTTAGTGTTTTTTTAATCTAAAATAGTGTAAATCATGGATCGAATTGTCGAGAGTTGTGTGTCCTAAGCTCAATATCCATTGGATTGATTCGCGTTCTTATTTCGCATCTTTCTGCAGTGGTTGGTTTCACTGATTGTTAGAGAGTTGTTGATGTGACTGTGTGCACACCGTGAACGAGAATTGTTGGCGGCAAATCCACAGTCAATTCGGTCAATAGCTCCAAATATTGCCGGCTGGCGCCTTGCCAGTTTGATGAATCAATATTCGGCGGTGGTGCCAAGTATAGGAATGTGCAAGCTGATTGATTTGATCGTTCTTGAATTATTTTGTTGATGCTGCAAACAGAACAAATCAATAAAAATAAAATATTTCAAATAAAAAATCAATCATTTATATCTTAAACTTCTTCATTAAATAATCATTAATTCCAAAGTGAACGAAACTCACCCTTGCATATACAGCTTAGACCGATTAATGTCCTCTTCAAAAATGTCCATTTCGTTGGTTTCTCTGTTATCCGTAAACAATTTCAAAATGGATCCATTCTCGGCGAATTCTTCGTTTTGCGACCATTCTGGTATTTGGTGGATAGAGGCTGATATACGTAGTTCCTTAAGTAATTGTCGCAATTTATATTCGGCCGGACGTTCAAAGGACGATGATGCTGATGAGTTCATACTGAAATTGCTTTTTTTAGTTTAAACGATACAAAAAAACATACAAAACATACATCAGAGACATCAACCACCGGAATGGACTTTAAGAACCTACCTTTGCCGGCTCGAATTGTTTGATTCACACAAAAAGACGCGCAGCTCCAATTTCTTCCATTTCGGTAACATGTTAATAATGCAAGACAATTGGAGCATGAACAGAGAGACTACATCGAATGGATAAGGCATAGATGGATTGTTGTTCGTTGGATCAAAGACATTGATAGGCCAGACGTCAATGTATAAAATATGGTTGCTCTTGGCAATCAAATGCTTGTCCAAACGATGGAAATGACGGCAAAGACAAATATTCTTCTTCATGCGTAAAACATCACATATAATCGCCACATATTCTTCTGGTGTTAAATGCTCACGGCTTCCATCTGGGCGAATCGGGAAGATTTTGTCGTTGTTCATATCAAATTTATCGGTTCTGTATAGGGAGGTCTCGCTGCAACAGGTAAGAGAATGAAAAAAAGAATAAAAATCGAAATCTCAAGGGAAAAAATAAAAAAAATTCAAACCCAAAACTTACTTCGCGAAGAAATCAGTCAATTTTTCCTCATCATAGAAGCCCAAAATGATGGTGTTCGGTTTCATTGCGCCCATTCCACTGATTCTGATCAAATGCTGTATACCTTCACGAATGGTTCGTGCCATGGTGACCTCAGCAAATGCTTTCACCCGCATGTGATCAATCAACGACAGCCATTTGCCATATTCTTCGATTGTTGGATCGATATTTGAATCATAATCGCTGAATTCACCGACTTTTACGTGGCCCAACACATACAGTCCACCTTTTTTCATGTCATTCACAAAATCGATCAAAGGACACGATGTTCGTGGACTTGACACCAACAATAACATTTGTGGTCGCCAGAATTTCACGTGATCTTTTCGCGAGTCTAACATTAGCAGGTATTTTCGGACTTGATGGAACATTAACGCTTGTGATATCGAACCGCTGTCGGATTTTTGTGAAATCGGTGAGAAAATGTGCAAACAGATGATCAATATCAAGCACAAAATGATGCTAATAGAGGCATAGATGAAGTTGATAATAAACATCATGATCAGCGTTCCCAGCAATCCAATGAGGCATGTATGCCAAGTGAAATATTTGAATGTTGGACGGAAATTCGGAGCGCCAGTCAATTCAATGCCCAAGCATGCTAAATTGGTTGCCATATAAGACAACAAGAATAGCACTGAGTTGATTTGTGCGATTAAATTCAATGATCCGATCAGAAGAATGGCTTCCACAAGAAGATAGCTAATTAAAACGGCCAAAATGGGATTGTTTCTGTATGTTCCGCGTGTAACAAAGTCCAAAATTCTTCCGTACACTCTGTCTCGGGCAATCGCCTCGAGCACACGACTCGATCCAATCAAATTGCTCAATGCGGTTGAGAATGTGGCCGTCAAAATGCCGATGGCAACAAAAAAAGGCCACAGATTCACAGGCATAAGGAACAAATAGTTATTCCTGAGAAGTTCACCGGTTGTTGTTGCCGCGATGAAGACTGACAACAGCACGTAACAGGTGAATGTGAATGCAACAGCTGACAATGTTCCCACTGGAATACTTCGACTAGGACTTTTCAATTCACCACTCATATTCGCACCCGCCATTATACCTTGAATGAAGAGAAACGTTTTTATTTTTTTGAATTCGATGAAAATCGAGTTAATTCATGAAAGCGATTTTTTACCAGTTACTCCAGAGAACAAAACGCCAAACACAATGGCAAATGTGACCTGACTATTACCAGATGAGTAATCTTTGCCATAGTGCTCGTACAGGTTGTGTTGGAAGGTGTCAAGCGAGAGACCAGAATATGTGTAGTTTACCAGATGCGTTTTATTTTGTACGATTGTATTTTCAATGGGTATTGAAACCTGTTGAAGCATTTTTTGGTCGTCAATTATTTCAATTCAATTATTTGAAGCTAGAAAATTCGTAATTTGAATATATAAATTTAATTAAAACCAACCTCCATTTCGCCTTGTGTTAAAAAGCTGACAAATGTTGAAATCAAACACACAATCACGATGCCCAAAATCAACACGTAGGTTTTAGCGAGTAAAGATGCACCGACCAAACACACAATTAACATGAGTGTGTTGACAAGTGTGCAGTAAAGGAATCTCCACCAGCGTGAATCTTGTATGAATCCACTTTCACCGCCGTAATAGCCACCAGGCCCGAGATTTTCCACGATTCCTTCAACACATCCCGAAATTGCTAAGGCACTTCCAACAATGTTCGCGAAGAAAAACAATGTTCCTATTGCACCACCAAATTCTGGCCCCAATGTTCGGCTTATCATAACTGAAAATTTTTGATTTTTAAATCAGATAAATATGAAAATCTTTTGGTCTAATAAAGAGGAATGGGAATCAATCGAAATTTGAAAAATGATTAACAATTGGTGGAAATGTAAAAGCAAAATTGTTCTTACAGTATACACCGCCCCCTTCCACAGCTCCATTCGTTGAAATTGCACATACCGATGAAACGGTAAACAATAATATCGCGTAAGCAATTATGAATTGAAGTAACACTTCGTAGAGGCCTGCATTGCCCACCAAGAAACCTGCAATCAAACAAATGCACATCAAATGAAAATGTTTAAAATGTAAACAAATGTGATTCATGGGTGATTTGACTTGAATCGTGATAAAATAGGAATGAACTTCACAGCAAGAACACATTAAAATTATCAGTATTAGTCGTGAAAATTTCGATATGCGATGAGTTACCTTGAGTCATTAGTATTTGGTTTTGAAAAAAATTATGAAATTTTTATATTATAAAACAAAGTTCAATCACATTTAGGTGATTTCACGGAAAAGATGAATTTTCCGAATAAAAAATATTTTCAAATATTTAGTGAATAATATGATTCGTCATCAATGGTATTAGGTAATAAAAACTCTTCTTACCAACACGAATGAACAGCAATGCACTGAACATTGAGAGAGCAACTGGGCTAAAAACACCGGCGAATGTTCCCAATGTACGGCCGGAACGTTCTGTATCCGAAATACCAAACTCAACATAACCATCCGAAGCGGAATTGGAACTTGTTGATTGGCTATTTCCAACCATTGCGCCAAATTGTCGAAAAATTCGCATGCCAGCTATGGGAGAGCGTTCAGTTTCTGCTTGAATGATATTCGGATTAATGGCATCCGTAGAGTTTGACGTTGAAAACATATTTAGCACATATACACTTGATACTTTTTGACGAGACAATACGAAAAATAACTACACCAATATCAATGCGTCATTTATCAAACAATTACAATCTAGTTCTAGTCGGATATAAATACATTACAATTGTTAACATGAAATGTTAACACATCCGCACAAAGAGAAAACACCCAACAGCGATTATGTTCCGCTTCCACGAAAAAAAGTAATCTCTTCGACTTGAAAACACCCACTGGACAATCTATTGGTATGAAGTCATACGAATGAAACTTGTTTCTTGCGGTCGTCACACCAACGTTAACAGCTGATATTGCACTATATAATAATTTAGTGATGAAGTCAGCAAAACGAAGATGGTCTTACCGATAAAGAAAAAAAATACTTCAATTGAATAACTGATCGACTTAACAGTGACGTGAACTGAATTAAAGCGTTGAAGCGTACACTATTTAACAGATCGAGATGCTAGTACGAGATTAAATAAGTTTATTTACACCAATGCTACGATGTGGAACCCAAAACGCAAACACGTCAAATATGCACAAACACGAATGAGATGCGATGAGATGTGAAATGCTCTAAAACACACAATAATTTTAGGCTCTATTGTTGTTTGTGAGCTTCAGTTAAAGCAAAATATATGAATGAATTTGTCATTTTTTTGCCGTAATAAATGTAAATTATTTTCGAAATGGGTCAATTCCATTGAATGTTTTCAATGTCATCACACTGTGTGATTACAAGCTGACTTCTTTATTGTAAATCACTAACAAAAAATGAATTGTTTGACTGCGAAATAGAACGAGTGAAATGTTTACAGTGGAATTCGTGTATTCGATGCATACGTATCACTGTGGTGGTAAATGAAAACAATTTTGAAATGTCAATGTCATTGTGAGATGCGTTACGAACTGTCAAAACTTAGCTCTACACACTCTTACAGTCAAACGTATAGAATATACTCGAAAATTTTGTGCAGAAAAAAAAATCGGAAAAAAGATTCTAATTCGATCGAAAAAAAATTGTTTAGTCCTGTATTGTGAATTTCTAAACACTAAAATTGAATAAAAAGGTAAATTTTGAACGAAAAACATCAAAAAACTACGGTCTACAATCGAAACAATCTGTGTTGTTGGCGAAAGTTAACCTCAATTTCCGTGACGGCAAACGTTTGCAAACAAACTCAATAGATTTTCTGGTGATTTTTTTTTTTCAGATTGAATTGGACTAGTTTGCGATGGGAAATGAGCGGAAACGACGTTCTCGTTCACGGGATAGACGTTCAAGGTCAAGAGATAGAGACCGGCGTTCCAGATCGAAAGAGAAACTCCGTGAAAAAGACTATCGCCGTCGGTCGCGTTCCAAAGAACGCGATAGAGCTAGAGATAAAGATGCTGGCTCGTCAAAGGATAGGCATATTGATCGCATGAAGGCTGAATTCAGTTTGAAAAGTAAACAAGAAAAGGAAACGAAGCCATCAGTTAGATACGAAGATAAAGATATCAAACCGAAGATAAATGTCAAAGATGAAGATGAAGAGAATGGGGGAAAACAGAAAGCGGCAAAAAAACCTGAACCGCTATCATTGGAAGAACTGGTGCAGAAGAAAAAATCCGAAGAAGCTGCCGCTAGCAGACCAGTGTTCATTACAAAGGAACAACGAGCAGCCGAAGCATTGAAGCGGCGGCAAGAAGAAGTTGCAGCAATGCGTGCCGCACAAGCCACTGTCCCAAAATTCGGTGACGTTCCAGTTGCACAGCTGTTGAACAAAGAGCGACGCGACAAAGACCGCGATGATAAGGATCGAAGAGATAGAGATAGGTAAGAATTCATTTATTGAATTTTGCTTTTCAAATAGTAGGTAATTTGAAGAAAATTCAACCATTTCCATTATTTCCAGAGAGCGAGAAAGAGAACGTCGACACAGGGAAAGAGACCGAGGTGATGACAGGGATAAAGACGATTCAACTCGTCAACGTGTCGATGATCCAAACAAAGACAAAGAGAAAGAAGCTGAAGCGATTCGAGAGCGTTACTTGGGAATCGTTAAGAAGAAGCGTCGTGTTCGTCGTATAAACGATAGAAAGTTTGTCTTTGATTGGGACACAACCGAAGACACATCAAATGATTACAATTTACTTTACAAGGAGAGGCATCACGTTCAATTTTTCGGTCGTGGCAATATTGCTGGTATCGATATCAAAGAGCAACGCAAACTGCAGAGTCACTTCTATGGTGATATGTTAGAAAAGCGTCGTACCGATGCAGAGAAAGAGCAAGAAAAGATGCGGCTCAACAAGGTGAAACGAAAGGAGGATAAACAAAAATGGGACGATCGTCATTGGTCCGAAAAGGAGAACGATGAGATGACTGAGCGTGATTGGCGTATTTTCCGTGAAGATTACAACATTACGATCAAAGGTGGCAAAATACCGAATCCGATTCGGTGCTGGAGTGAATCTGGTTTCCCCAAGGACATTTTGGATCTCATTGAGAAAGTTGGATATAAAGAACCAACTCCGATCCAACGTCAAGCCATTTCGATTGGTTTACAGAATCGAGACATTATTGGTGTCGCTGAAACAGGTATGAAATCGGATATTGTCAATAATTAAAAAGTATGCATTGCGCCCACTCGTACTTTCTTCAATGACTCATGGAATTCTTTAACTTTCACAGGTTCCGGTAAGACATTGGCCTTCCTAATTCCACTGTTGTCATGGATTCAATCTTTGCCGAAAATCGAGCGTTTGGAAGATGCCGATCAAGGGCCATATGCTATCATTTTGGCTCCAACTCGTGAATTGGCACAACAAATCGAAGAAGAGACAAACAAATTTGGTGAACCATTGGGTATTAGGTATGATTTTAATGTCGAAATTTCTTATTATTTGATAATTTTTTTATGTTTTTTTAAATTGAATGTTTGACAATTTTTAAATTCCAGAACTGTTGTGGTTGTCGGTGGTTTGTCACGTGAAGATCAAGGGTTCCGTTTGCGTATGGGATGTGAAATTGTCATTGCAACGCCCGGTCGTTTGATCGATGTGCTTGAAAATCGGTATTTGGTATTGAATCAATGCACATACATTGTTCTCGACGAAGCCGACAGAATGATTGACATGGGTTTCGAGCCGGACGTACAAAAGATTCTCGACTTCATGCCTGTGACCAATTTGAAACCCGACACAGATGACGCTGAAGATGAAACGGTACTGATGCAAAACTTTTATTCAAAAAAGAAGTATCGACAAACGGTCATGTTTACAGCTACTATGCCACCGCCAGTTGAACGTTTGGCTCGGACATATTTGAGAAGACCCGCCACGGTATACATTGGAAGCGTTGGTAAACCAACTGAACGTACTGAACAAATCGTGTATATGATGAATGAGAATGACAAACGCAAAAAATTGGTTGAAATTCTTAATCGCGGATTTGAACCGCCGATCATCATTTTCGTCAACCAGAAGAAAGGTGCCGATGTATTGGCCAAGGGATTGGAGAAAATGGGCCACAGCACGTGTACGTTGCACGGTGGCAAAGGTCAAGAACAGCGTGAATATGCTTTGGCTTCTCTCAAAGGTATGTATCCAGTTGATATTATTCTATTCATGAAAATTTAAAAGTATTTTCCACTTTGCATCAAAATCAAAATTAAAATTGCATAAAAAATGAAAGGTTATTTCGATATGAAAATGTACTAATCGCATTTTTTCTCTCTTTTACAGGTGGTTCGAAAGACATTTTGGTTGCTACCAATGTGGCTGGTCGTGGTATCGATATCAAAGACGTCTCAATGGTCATCAACTACGATATGGCGAAAACAATCGAAGAGTATACGCATCGTATTGGTCGTACTGGGCGTGCCGGTAAAACTGGTATAGCCGTCAGTTTCCTTACGAAAGACGACAGTCCAGTGTTCTATGATTTGAAGCAATGCATTCTCAGCAGCCCAGTTTCAACATGCCCACCGGAATTGAGCAACCATCCAGATGCAGCACACAAACCCGGAACAGTCGTTACTAAGAAACGTCGCGAAGAGAAGATTTTCGCTTAGGTTCTTTTTTTGGCCCAAAGAAATATGTTCATTTGATTCCTTTGCTTTTTTCGATCGTTATCATTCGAATAATATTGAAATTTTCTACAAAAATCTTATAATAAATCCACTTTAATGCAAGTATGCAAGTAAATCCAAAAATCGACGTTTTGATTTTCATTAAACTAACCTTTTTTACTTCATAAATGTGATGAACAGCTGCTTAATCCATAGCATTGCAGCGTCCGTAAAATTGTCGCCATGTCATAGAAAAGAGTTTCTCCATAAACATTTCGCTTTTTCAATTTTGGACGTCTCGGAATCCGGCTATAAATCTATGAATTAATAATTGTGCGTCTTATGGTTCAAACGTACGTCATAGATCGGAAACATTTTTTGGTTTTGAAATTCACAGTTATGTTATCAATATAGAATATCAATTGATTGCCGTACAAACGAATCATATCTGAATTGAACCGAAGAAAAAAAATCATCGATTTGAAGAAATTGTTAATGAGCTAATTTGATGTACGCCAAAATATCCGTAACAAGCGAAAACTGATTGATGGAAGCAGAAAGAGAGAGAGAGAGAGAGAGAGAGAGAGAGAGAGGAAAAATATGTTGTTTGTACCGCATCATGTGCATACGAATTGATGTCGAATTTGGAATTTGACTCGATTTTTCCGCAACACATTGAATGGGAACACAACACCTTACTCGATTGTTGCCACCGACGCGCTGTCACTGTTGCATATTTTATAGTATGAAACGAAAAAAAAATTAAATTTGAATCACCTACTTTAATTGAAATCCATGTAGCCATTGTTTATGCTATTACCGAAAATAAACATCATATTCACGTCACTGGTTCACGATAATCGTATGCGATGGTCGTGCTTGTTTTATTTTTTCCTTCGTTGTTGGCTTCTTCATTTTTTTTCTATATCTAGCACACAAACCAAAACAATGCACACGATCAATAATCCGCAGTCGATCCGGTAGTCAAAGCCAAAAATGAAGTGTTAAATCTATTGGAATTTCATTTCACTTACGGTCGTTCAACGACAAGAGAATATCAAGCAAAAAGAATTGAATTCGGCAAAGCAACAACATACAATTCGTAACGTAAGTACGGCCCCATCGGCCGTATGTGCGATATTGTCGACCGGTGGTCGTCTGGGAGCAGTAGTATAAATTAGTTGGTCTTCTCAACCAACGACATCATTCATTTGTTATTCAGTCGACTGATCGGATCGTAGTTACCGCAGTACATCGGCCTGCTAGTTTGTTTTCTGTTTAAAGAAAAGTAATAAAGAAAAGCAAAGGAAAAAAAACAATTCAAAATGAATAAAAGTGTATCGAATATCTGTAAAATTGCCGCTTTGTTGTGCATTGTGCAAAGCGCTATCGCCGGCGTTGTGGATAATTCAGTGTATGTAGAACGGGCTCGCATCAACAGTGGAAATGAATTGGTCTCAACCATTCTAAACAATTGCTACAACATGGACTGTTTGAAGAGCAACGTATTGTCTTATTTCAATACAATTTTGGGTGTCGAAGACCGTTCAGCAGCCCGTTCCATGGAATCAGTTGACGAACAAATCTTTGATCGTGTTGCAAAATACTTGAAAACCAACGAACTCCATTTCGAATTGCCCGAAACATTTTTCCGTAAATCGGAAATCACTTTTCGTGCCGACCGTGGCTTCGATGTGAAAGTCTCCGAAGAAGCAGCCACTGAAGGTACAGAGATATAGTTGTTTTTTCATTCACGTTTTCTTTCTTGGTGTGAAAATCTTTGTTAAAATTCGTTTCGCGCAAATATTCACAATAAAAGTTATAGAAAATACCGATTGTATTGGCAAAATGTAATGTGTTAAAAAGAAGATGAAAAAAACAGAATTATGTATGAATATTTGTGTGATTGAAATTTTAAATTGATGTTCAAGCAAACCATTTTAATCAATTGGAATTATTTACAGCTCGCAAACACAAAGACGATGACTTGAAGAAGAAGCTTTTGTTGCCTGCACTTTTGCTTTTGAAATTGAAATTGAAAGCCATCCTGCCATTGTTCGTTGGTATCATTGGAATTAAGGCTGTCAAAGCTTTGATCATCTCCAAATTGGCTTTGTCTTTGGTTGTTGGATTCATCGCTTACAATTTGTTCAAGAAACCAGCCGCACCAGCTGCATCCGCCGAAACATCCACCGCCGCTCCATCATCGTACGATCCAAACAGTTGGGAACCAAGTGCAACTAGCGGCGGTCCATACGCTCGTGTCTGGGATCCATCAGCACAAAACTTGGCCTACAGCGCCTATTACTCGGGCGGCTCATCGGTGGCTGGCAACAGCGGTAGCTCAGCAACCGCTTCAGCCACTTCAAAACCATCCACCTACTCAACCATCTAAATCGATTGTTTTCAATTTTAATTTATTTTTGCTTGTAAATGCATTGCTGTACATTTTAAATTCTATTTATTTCTTAGCTACACAAGAAATGACACATAGAGAATTATGTAACTTATTCAATCGAAACCAATTATTTATTCTACCAAATCATAAATTATTGCAAATAAAGTGTGGAAAAAACATTAAATAACACAGTCTATTGGCCTTTACAAAATCGATATTGCTTGGTACTCTTTTACATCCGACTTTCTTTGAAGCATCGGGAAAACCATTCAGCAGTCGTTGTATCACCGATAAAAAAAATATTATTCTTCATTAGGTAAAGCAAGTTAATCTTCAAATGGTCGGTATTGAAATTTATTCATAAAAAATATAAACAAATAGAAACATTCTGAAAATGACTACAATGCCAGTACATTGCAGACACTTGCGGTATTTCTGTTTGAAAATATTGAGTACGGCCGAGTGAGTTTTCCAATATGCAAATACATGCATCATATATTTTAATAAAAAACCAGACATATTGACATCTAAATTTTCATCACGACGATTCGAGTTTACGATGGAATTTATTTCCGTTAATTGTGTTGCCTTTCCCGGAGGCACGTATGGCACACCAGCGTATAACTGTCCTAACTTGCATGGCATTTAAATAAGTGTATCGCTTCATGGAGTACATGTAGAAAGTGTTTCACTTTCATTGCGATTTTTGTTTTTGATTTCTAATTTCTACATACTCACGATGAATTTTAATCAATTCATTGAAACCTAATTTTCATAAATAGCTCTCTCATATTTTGGGAACAATTTGAAATTCATGGGAGACTCCGATTTGGAGTATAAAAATATTCCATGGGACGGAAGTGGGATTGGAAATCAGTTTATCGATCCAATTTTGACGAATCGAATACCAGAAGAATGGATACGAAAAATATCATTGGAAATAGTTCAGAGGAACCAAGTGATCCTTATTTTTGATGGAATGATAGTATGTGCGATAGAAAATTCGATTTAAACGTCGTTGATATGTATTAAATATGTCTTTCATGATATTAGTCTGCAAAGAACATCATTATTGTGATCAAGACGTTATTGTTCAATTTTCAAGCGATCCAAATTTCTCCAGTTCAATCTAGTCTAATTCAAAATTGTTACTTTTGAACTAGCACTACTTGTCTTAATCTACTTGCTTTGGGCCAATCTGATCCTCACAAAAGAAATTCCATGTTTATGATCTTCATTTAAGTACCATCTTAATGGCCCTTTAGATCTGAGGCATATTGGTTTGAAATGATAAGAACTTTCCATTAATGAAAACCATTGACAATCAAATCAAGTCAAATCAATCTAATAGACAAAAAAGCTTCTATTAGACATAAGATATGCTTCGGAAGACTTTCTTTGTAAGAAACGATTTAAAGAAGTTCTTTAAAAGCTGTATTTTAACAAAACAAATGGACCATGCAAATATGCAAATGAACGAATAATAATATTGATTTGATAGAAAAACGGTAATTTTACACTTCATGATTTCAATTTATTTACTTCAATCTGCCTCTCATTCATTTCAATAAGTTAAAATAAATACAATAAATTATGCGTGAAAAAGTTTGTTTTTCCGCTGGATTCCAATCGATGCTTAGCAGTTAAGCAATCGTAATTTACAAGTAGGCATTGTACGCAATATTTTGGGCTGGTTCGTTAACTTCTTGAGCAAAGCTTCGGGTGTCCCATGGACCAGCAGCAATGGTGGTTGGGTGTTGGTCAGCGAACTGAATAATTAAATATTTGGTCAATCTAAATGTGCTTTTTGACAATCATAAATTGCTCGTTCCATTCGCAAATGGATGCATGACACTTACCTTTCGGCAAAGTTGGAAGACAGCCAAACCAACAGAGATAACGAACGAGAAGAATGACAATTGAAGTGCGTTAAATGCCTTGATCCCCAAGATACCAAGACCCAATGGAACAAGTGTGATGATTTTCAAAAGGATGAAAGTCAAAATTGGAATGGCGACCTTCTTCAGCTTCGATTTACGTGATTCAACGACACCATTGTTGAATTTAACTTTGAAGTCGACTTCGTCGTTTTGCAAATTACGTGCAGAAATGGTAAGTTTGCTGTCAGCTACTGGCAAATCCAATGAAACATCGTTGCGTTGAACATAGTTTGAGAGTGCATCCAAAATGTCTGACGACGTTGAATGCGCTTCACCGACTCTCTGTTGTGATGGAAAGAAAATGGGGAAAAAATAAGTATTTTTCTTGAATTGAAAATCGTTGTCACTGAAATATATCCAAATCTCACCGGACTAGCGAATGCACTGCAGGTCAAAACAGCGAATACAGCTGAAGCAAGGATAACTGATCGGGAAATCATGTTGACGAAATCAATGAAAGTTAATAAATCACTGTGGTGTGTTTGCGATGTGGCTTTGCCAGAAGTAAACTAGGTTGTGATGTCGATTGATAATCGGCCACGGGCTTTTATACCATCAATTAGCTATTCACTTTACCGAAACAATCGAGTGTGGGGCAAATGCTTTATCAAAAAATTAAGGTACGTCACAATATTACGGCCAAATACAGTGCACAGAAAACCAATTGTAAAACAGAAGCAACGCCTCAATTGTACGGCCGAAGCATATTCAAGTGCTTATACTTTTACCATCTACTTTATCCACGAAGAAAAAAGAAAATTGAGAATCACTGCTCAAGACCAAGGCAAACGGAGCAACGGCTTGCCAAGCAACGAGCTGCTCTTCAGTGTAGACATTACCAAAGCAATAACATATCCATAAAACAATACACGACCATGTCAATATCGCGTGTATAATTTTCGGTGGAGATTTTAGCATTGGTGTCACGTTGACGATTATCGATCAACTCAATGCAGCATATTAATTGTGGCTATTCGATTTGTGTCACATTTTTCTATAGTGTTGTTTTTTTTTGCACTTTTCACCGAAGCAGGCGGTTTCATATCGCACATGAAACGAATGTTCAAATCAATCGATTATGTGAGAATATTCATGCGATCGCATTCTTTCCTCTTTGGCTTAGAAATCCGTTCGCATTTCCGTTAGGCTCGGCACGCAACATACAAAGTAATTAATGACATATCTAATGGGTGACATGGGACTTTAATCAAATTTACCATTTACATTCTATGGGTTATGTGAAATCAATTTTTATGACGCACATGTAACATTTTAAGACGATATCTAAATTTGAGTGAAAACGAAACTTTTATTTTTGCAATCCCAATAAAATATGAGCGTCGCGTAAAATACGAATCAGTTGATTGGACGGTTGGAGAAATGCTGGCCCGGCATATGCGGGACACACTTGCAGTATACGATTTCAATTGAAATGTGTTAATGGAACAAATTCTTTCAATTTCAGTGCAAACATTTACTTAGATCAATATTGAAACAATCATTTTTTGTCACAGATTTCACGACAACATTTGCATCATGTACTTAAAAGTTGGGTACTTTGAATGCTATCGATATGGTAAAAATGCAATTTATTGGAGATTTTCAATCTTAGGGATGCATTACTAATTCGAGTCGTTATCTCTTTTTGAGCACTCATTTTTGATGAGGTTTAGTTTACACATCGACAAGAAAAAAATTGCAAAATTTGTTTTTCCATGCAAATCATTGCATTATTTGATAAATCTGAGCGTTTTTTTGTCGATGTGTAAATTATGCTTGATACGTTATTTTGCGAACCAATATAAATTATATTTTTTCGGCCTGAAAGATAGATTCCTTATAACGACAAATTACTTCATAATCAATCCATTCCCAATACGGGATTTTTGGATGATAATAAAAAGAATTACATTGGTAATCCCGAACTTTTCCGTACCGTTGGCCTGCGTTGTCTGTAGGTACTTTTGGTTATTTTTTGTGAATTTTCTTGAAATAAAGGCAGCGAAAATATAATAATAAAAATAAAGTGAAAAATCGGTCACTTTAACTAAAACTTCGACAATTTTGTATGAGAGGTACCCGTAAACCAATTCCTATTGGCTTCAAACTTTCTGAGGTTTCATTTTTTCGAGAAAAAACACGATTCTGAAAGTTTCATGTTGATCCCATTTGCAGAAGTTTGATTTTTTGTCCTCAATTTTTGTCGAAATTTTCTTGGAAAAAATTGAGGGCCAAAAACCAAACTTCTGCACATGCGATCAACATGAAACTTTCAGAATCTTATTTTTTCTCCAAAAAATGAAACCTCAGAAAGTTTGAAGGCAATCAGAATCGATTAACGGGTACCTCCCATACAAAATTGTCCAAAAATCGGTAATTTTAGTCAGAATTTCAAAAAATTTGTATGGGAGGTACCCGTAAATCGATTCCGATTGGTTTCAAACTTCCAGAATCTTATTTTTCTCGCAGAAAATGAAATCTCAGCCAATCGGAGTCGATTTACAGATACCTCCCATACAAAAGTGTCAATTTTTTGAGGTTTTTCTTAGGGCAAGTACCCCAGGATCAAATCGAAAATGGCTCATCTTCGAACTTAAACTAAGTTTTTCAAATACACAACTTTTGGCGTTTCCAGATTTTGATTATCTCAATTATTTTTTGAGTTATCGTGTTAACACACACCAACGACGACAACGACGACGACGACGACGACGACGACGACGACAACGACGACGGCACACGAACGGAAAAGTGTCTCAAAAAGTGGTTTTCTACGCGTTTCATGAGTTTTTATGATGATCTAAACCAATTTTGCGAAAAAAGTTTTCGGGACCAATTCCTATACTTTCCCTTGACACGTTGTGTACGGAAAAGTAAAATATGAAAAAGGCAGCTTATTAGAAAATCTAACGTTTTTGTGTTTGAGCTAGTCGTGAGGATGGTTATCCAAATTCATCAAAAAATTACGAAAATTCGCCGAAGCAATCTGAGTTATAACAAAAAAAACTGATTCTTTCAAAGAGAAAAAATTGCAAAAAGAATTTTCCTTGATTGTTCATAAATTTCTGAGGTTAAAATTAAATCCCAAGAATCATACGGCATGTGGTACTTGGAAATAAAAAGTTGAAAGTAATTGTCGTGAAATGAAATCGTTTTTTTCTGATTTTAGAAAATGTCCAATACCTATCGTGTATTTGCAAGCGATAATTACTCAGAAAACACACACTCAGAATCACCACTAAATTAATTTTTGACAACATTGTTTACTTGTTTCCATTATGTGCTAAAAAAATGCTAACAGTCATTGTTGATTTGATAACTATATTAGACTCCAATGGTTGCTGTTGGAGTTGAGTATTCAAGAGCTATTATGAAAAAATGTATTTGATCTTCAATGGAAGATATCTCACAATGAAAATGACGATGCAAATTTGTTCAAAACATGCTACTTGTAGTAGTTCACTACTGTGCATCAAAAACGAGTGTGCGAAAAATGTTGATATGAAGCAAACTCTGTGATTTAGAACGTTGTATTTAAGCTCTTTTATCTTAATCATTATTAATGTTGAGTAAATGCAAATGGCATTTCCCATCCGCACAGTTCTTTAGAATTTCTTCTTTTCTCTTTGTGATTCAATAGCTACTTTCGATTGTATAACACCACTGTAATAGTGTAATAATTCTTTATTCAGAAACGTTTCCAAGTCAAAGTTTCAATGGCATCTGAGAGAGAATAAAAGCGAAAGTGAGATGATGCGATAAAAAGTTATTCAACTGTCAATTTCATGTAAAGTTAAGAATTTCGTATCAAATACAATGTCTTTAATTGCAGAAAAAAAGTAAAAAAAAAGAAATTAAGTTATAAACTGTATGTAGAGTTTCATTGATAAAAATCTGCTAATTCCGAATTCAGATGGAATATTAAAATAGTTTCACTTTAAACGACTCGTTAAATTTATGATTCCATTGACATGATGGTCAAAAAATTAAAGTCATGAATGAGTGACCATGTGAAACTATTCGTACGGATGTCTAACGCAGTGAAAAAAATGCATTAAAATTCAAAATATTGACGAAAACAACAATATTATAATGACTTTCATGCAAACAAGGAACAGAATCCAACGGTGAGCATCAGTAAGTCGCCAATTGCGACTCACGATTGGAAAAATTACAAACACCAATCACGTTCCAACCCAATTTTTCTTTCTTTCCATCCGGTTTATGGCCCCAACGGAATGTCCGCTCGCCACAAACTGCGTTCTACTGAATGAAATTGAACGCACTTGTGTAAACAAGAAGCATAAGCGTCATTTGTGTGTGCTTGCACGCATCAGACTTCTCCTACTATTAGGCGAAACGGTTTTGGGTGCCCATCGTCGCTCATAGTCACAATTAAAATTCGAAAACCATAATTGAAAAACTATTCGTCGTATTAAAACGGGTTGGTATAAAAACAAAAGCAATGAATGGATTTTATGACAGTCGTAGCTTGGCGTTCGCATCGAATAGCAGCAATCAATTTTTAACATTTCAAGTGTTCAAGCGGGATTTTCATTTCAAGTTTTTCATTTGGATCACTTGCCTGGCATAAAAAATGAAGACGACAAATTTAATCCAATTGAGCGTTGTGGTTTTGTGTTTGGTGCATGGCTCACGCAGTGAGGATACACTCTTAGATGCATTCAACGACATTTATTCAACCTGTTTGGTGAACTTGAACACGGACTGCATCCAGCCAAAGGCATTGGAATGGTTGAGCAAAGTGATTGAAAAACGGGAAATTCACATCACCAACGATTTGAGCATCGTGAAAAATGATTCAGCTACAATTATTGCTGAAGATCAAGACGAACCAGAAAGTGCTCGCGACAGTCGCGTCGATTTGTTGAGCAAAGTTGATGGATTCTTGGCCACTCACTATATGCACATTCGTTATCCAAAAGCCATCATCAGCCAACATGTTCCATCGTTCATGATGTCCACATTGAACCGTTTCATCCCAGACTCCGTGCACATGCCATTGGAAGAAGGAAACCCAAATGAAGGTACTCATTACACGAAAAAAAAAATATTTTAATAAAAAATGAAAAAAAAAAAATCAAAAACAAGTTAAAGCTTCAAATGCTCTCAATATCGATTTCTTTTCATCGTACTAATAAAATTTCTCCGAATGTTTCATTTCAAACGCAGGCCGTGGACTCGTCAAGAAAGTATTGATTCCATTTTTGCTCGGTTTGAAATTCAAAACAACCGTTTTGCTTCCATTGGCCTTCGCTCTTATTGCATTGAAAGCCTGGAAAGCACTCACACTTGGACTCATCTCCTTGGTTGTTTCAACCGCTGTTGTTGTCTTCAAATTGGCTAAGCCAAAGGTAAAATTTTAGGAAAACTGTTTTTCTCGTGCAAAAAAATTAATCTCATCATTCTCTTTACAGGTAATCAACTACGAGGTTGTACACTACCCACACCATCATCACCTCAATGCTCACTACGACCATTTGGAACACCATTTGGAACACCATTTGGAGCCACATCATCACTTGGAACACTTGGACGTTCATCAAGTTCCACACGCTCACATTGACACACATTTTGACCATTTGGCCCCACATGGCCATATCGACACACACTTTGATCATTTGGCCCCACATGCCCACATCGACACACACTTGGCTGCACACGATATCGCCTATCCAGCCCATTTGTAAGCAAACACACATAGCGATTAAATCAGCCAACTAATGAACACAAGAGTTCCAAATGCTGATACACGAACAAATATATTTATTTAATTTATTTGTATGAATGTGGAAAAATCTATTTATTAAAGAATCAAACTAATTTATTTCAAGTCATAAATCGGCGGTGTTTTAATCTGTTTTTGATGCAAATTGGCAAACTTGAAAAACTTGGCAAAGAATTTTTTTTCTTAAATTCTCTTACAAATCAGAGAATTATTCATTTAGATAATGCGACCTATGACCTATACAGTGTATCCGATACGTCATATCGTAGACACTTTTGGTTTTTTGTGGATCTTTGAGATAATGTATTATCATTATGAATCATGATTCATTCTGCGATTATTCGTATTGAATTGTTACGACTTTCCAAAAAACATGTCTAGAGATAAACTGAATTCTAACGAATTTGATTAGCATAAAACAAAGTTGATCATTGTCGCTCACATGTCATCAATTCATGAGGTGAAATAAAAAATAATCGCGTTCATTTTTCAATTGTTATTTACCATTTATTTATTAATTTGTTGTTGTTTGTTTAATTTATACAAATGTTACCATTACAAAGGCAAAATACAAGTTGCAATTATTTTTATATGCAGAAGAAACATGTTGTCCTATTTTCTAATTGTTTGCGACTATTTGCGTGAGCCAAATTGTTGTCTTCACTTTCGGAGCTTATACAGATTTTTATACCAAGAGACAGAGAAAAAAAAACCTCGTAACACCATTGATAAACATTTGTTTGTGGGCAGCAGCATGAGTGTGTCTATCATTTTGCTGGATTTAAAAATAATTTTAGTTTTCATTTGCTTTGGTCAAAAATCTATACCCTTTCAACTTGATTCAAAACACAAACTTTCTTAGTGTTTTTTTTCTTAATTCTCCTTTTTAATATACGAAAATAAATACTATCTACAAATTCCCTATCGTCTATTCAGTTTAAAAACTACGCAACAAAAATAAATAAATAAACTAGGCTTCATGCTCATGAATTCGTTGTGTTTCCCATTTGTTTTCTTTTTGCTATGCATTTTTACATTGCACATTTTGGATTAAGCGACAGACAACTCTTTTGATCTTGTCCATCTCTGGCGGCTTTGACATATTTGTAGAAGGTCAGAACGGCTGCATTTAGTTCGGCCGGTTTTTGTAGTTCGGTAGAATCTCTGAAAGTGGCACAGATGCGAAAATTGGTTAAAGTTCTGATCTAATTACATGATGTGACAATATTACAAACCTGCTCAATTCAGCTGATAAGAAATTACTATGCGGACTAAACTGTGCCGGGCTCTTGTACATATTACAAACGAGCCATTCTTTGCAGTGTTCACTCACATATGCACTGTATTGATTCAGAATGCTATCAATCCGTGCCACAATTGGGCCATAAAATGGATCAGCAGCGATCATACTCTGAAACAGGAGAAGTGAACAAATTAAAATAACAGAATATCGAAGTAAAACGCCTGAATAGACTGTAAATAATAGAGACAATGTGCAAAATGGGTCATTTTCTCCTTTGAGCGGATGCAAATAAATTGCGACGTGAATTAATAACTATTGATGCTAATTTACGACGATGATGTTTTATGCGAGATTATTTAAGATGAAGAAAAGTTATTTGCATCGATTCGAAATAGATAAAATAATTGAATGGCTATTACTTTACCTGGGCATAAGCAGGTTGTTGACGTAATGCGCTTTGAATTTTTTCGGCAATTAAATATTTATCGGGTGAATATTTGACTTGACTAGACGGTTCATATGTGCTGTATACTTTTGCTGAATTTGCCCCGTATGAATCTTCCTGCAACGGCGCTCGACCGATTGATGACTCTACGGTGGATACGAGCGGTGGGAATGGACTTAAACTGAACGACGACGAGAAGAAAAAAAAACATCGTTAAACGTGTTAATTACTTTTCTATTGAAAAATCCATATTAAATATCCATAAAAATCATAAATAAAATTAAGTGAAGCTTACCTCGCTTGAGGATTAGCTGGATAGGTATCTAAAGTGCTTTCGACTGGTTTTACCGCTTGTTCAAGTCCCCAACTATTTATCGTCTCATCATCTTCCAGTTTCGGTTTGAATGTTTCGGATTTTGAGTGCGGATTCACTTGTATATTTCGATGTATGTCAGAGATGTATCTGGTCATCAAATCAATCAACAACAAAACAATTCGTTAGAATTAAATATTTTCAATGAAGATTAGATTCGGAGATTTTATATTAGAAGAGAAGAATGATTTGAATGTAAAAAAAAAATCCGTCATACTCTGAGCCAAGTCCAGGTCCAGAATGTTCCCAATCGGTTGGATAATGTTGATGTAGCGGTGGATGTGGTGCTGGTATGCTATGGATGTATTCAACAGGGTGTCCTCTGGGCGGTGCAGTGTGAATGATTTCCGGACGATGTGGATGGTGATCATGGAAGTCTTTATACCAAGGTGGTACCACCTGAAAAAGTCAACCAATTTTTATGATCAAATGATCAAAAACTTTCAAATTTTAGACAAAAATCTTCAAAATCGGTTTTAAAATACAAGACTCTCTCTCTCTCTCTCTCTCTCTCTCTCTCTCTCTCTCTCTCTCTCTTTCTCAATCAATCATAATTTCAATTTGACACAAACTCCCGAAACACAAAAACAAAAAATGTTCATACAAACCGTATGCAAATGATTGATTTGATGGTGATGATGATGGTACTTGGTGTCATGATAGTTCTTGTGATAGTATGAGCACAGTTTGAATAAATGTGAAAGTGCGGGGAACAAGAACAAAACGAATTTGAGTAGCAGTTTTTTCGCGGCCGTCACACCAACAATCAAAGGTAAAATCCAGAATATTTTGATCTTGATGAGCTTGATGACCAATACAATCGCCAAAAATGATAGCAGTAATTTGTTTTTGAAGAATTTTTCTATGAATAAAAAGATTAAATGAAAAACCGGTTCAAAGGCACCTTACATACTATGGCCATTGTGCTTGTGCATGTGCGAATGAGTGCATTTTCGGGAGCATGAGCAAAGGGGGCCAATTTACCAGGACGACAATTTGGATCGGGATTGTGCACTTACTTTTGAAAAACTTACTAATGTGTTTTTTAAGACCAAAAAGTCGACCCGATTCGGATTCAACTTCTTGTAATTGTTTTGGAATCATTTCAAATTTAACAAGTGCCCCGTCACCATCAAAGGCACGAGGTGTGATACGAAATGTGGCACCATCAAATAAGATTTCCGGCATTTTCAACTCCAGATTGTGTGTCATCATGAAATTTCGCCATTTGCCATACAGGGCGTCCGTGACTTCTTCGATTGGAGATTCTAAAAATGTGCGAGAAAAAAGCAACAACATCGTCAGAAGAATAAACAAAAAATGAACATAGAAACTTTCACATTTGGTATGCGCATGACTGAACCTGATTTGAATTCGCGAGTTTCTTCTTGTGATATTTCGTTGTCGTGCTCGTCCGTGTTATTCTGCAGTTGTTCCAATAAATTGGGATCGATGTCGATTTTCTTGAATTGAATCCGTTCGGTCACATTGACATCGCCCAATTTTAACGTGTTGTCCAAATATGTGTAAATATTTTTCTGGAAACATGAAAACGATGGCTTATACAAACAGTCATTAACTATACCGTCCCATAGTTCGTTGCCAGATTGACGGAATGTTCGTTTTCCTCGCGACGATGATTGATCACTGTGAATTTGATGATTGGTTTCGATTGAATCGGATGAAGACGAAATAGAATGATTTGTGAAAATGACCGGCTGCATTGCCGGCGTTGCTGATTCGACATGGCCACTGATTGTACTAAGTTTAGTGTTAAATGCTGCATCATCGCACGAACCGTACGCAATGAAATATAATGAAACTATTGACGCCCAGAGTATGGTGGTCGCTTCAATCGGTATCATCGCTTGAAATGAATACGTTGAACGGCCTTTTTTTCTGCGCATTTTGAGGCCACAGTGTATACTTGAGGAATCCAGTTGCTTAATTTTGAATCGATTCGATGGATCTAATGGCCGATGATGATATTCAGATCGTTTAGTTGCTTCCTGTAGATCGAAATGGAATGAAAGAAAAAACTCAAAATTAAGCATCGCTTTTCTACATTCACTTAAGCTTATAAAAACACTATCATTAAATCTAAAATGAGTGAAGATCAAGAAGGAAAAAAAAGAACAACGTTTATAATTCCGATGATCTAACAGAGATGAGAGACCCCAGAGCGATTTGCCTATATAGAATCAAATCAAGCGACACAGCTAATATATACAATTTGGAAATGAATGCGGAAAATATACTACGGAAACAGAAGGTGCGCGTGCGACGCATTGAGATTCAATCTGATTCTGATTTGTGTTCACAAGCATGTTTCATCTGCGATAGAACAGATGTGGGTAGTAATCGAAGCGAACCACCAACAAAAGAATCTTTAATACGTTCTTATTGATACGAATGAATTCGATTAAAATTTGGGTCATCGGCATGCATCTCAAGTGTGTTTCATCTTGGGTGCGATGACACTACAGCCACGGATGATGCACATAAGGCAAATGTACGCATTTCATCGAGAAAATTGCGTTCACTGCGGTGCTCATCTTCAATTAAAGTAAGAGATAATCGTCGAGTGATCGTTGTGCTGTTCACTCTTCGCAGCACAACAACAATAAAATCGATTAAAACCTCACGTACGTGATCGAATCGAATATTCATGTCAACCAAACGTAGAATTAATTATCAACACATTCTAATGTGAAACTGGTTTTGCTGCACGATGTGCTGTCCATGATTTCCCATCAGTGGAAGCAGCGGCAGCAGCATTTCAAATTAAAATGCATTTGGGTCGAAGAAAGAGATGTACCGGCACTTAATGCGAGTGCAAGCAATTTGACTCGAAATTGTTTTTTGGTGTGCGGCACGTGTGCGTACCGATAATATGACAGACACCAATCGGTTGAACGCTTCTCAAGCAAATACAATTGGCCCGACTCTTTTGTTTGTCAAATTTGTTGTTATTTTGTGAATGAAAACTTTCATCAAGAGAAGAAAATCACAGAAAACAAATTCAAGTGTCAATTACCGATGCAATAAATAACATTTAATTGCAAAATTCATATGAGCTTGCTGTTATTACTGCAAATCTATTCATTCGAGCCTACAGCATCAATGAGCGAAGAAAGAAAAACATACCGATTCAGTTGAACGATCAACACGGCCTGGTACCGTCGTGCCTCTTTCAACATTCGAATGATACCACCCGATGCAAAGATGGATGATAAATTGAGACAAATGCTCGAATGGTAATGAATATGATTTGGTGCGCATATTAACTCTGTTGTGTCAAAGCATAATTTTCTCTCTCAGCTGTCATAACTTAATCGGCAAACAATGGAAACAATCATTTGAAATTATCTACCTAAGAATGCGTTCGCCGCTTCATTTGAGTTAACTTTCACGTTCTATTGTATTAATACAAATCTAAATACTGAGACGACTGAACACACATTGGAACTATTCTGACCTAATTAGTTTGAAATCAACAAAAGACATTCAGAGAAGCGCATTTTACAAAAGGAAAACACACACATACACACAAGTAAAATCAAAGAGCAAAATCATTTAAAAACCATTTTGAACGCATGTTTTGACTGCATTCAAAAATCAATTTCACCATCTGTCAATCGTACAATAGCGCCACAATGGCGATGATTGGCATGGCTGCCAAGCAAAACTTGCTCCAATTGACATTAACATTGATGATGAATTGAAGAGAAATTCTCATCGGTGCACCACCCTTTTTACTCAATCCATTTAAGACGATGATTGAATTTAATTACTGCTTTGCATAAGCAATTTCCACAACATTGAATTATTTTGTTCTCTGGGCCTAACCTCTACATCAATTCTAATGAAGGTTGTAGCACATGCGGAAATTGGAAACAGCATACGCACAGTAATTTTAGTAGGCTTAGAAGAGAATCGAACATACCGGATAATTATGATAATTCATCATCATTCTTCATCGAACCATATCCATCGCAATTGAACTTGAAATCAAATTTATGTGCGTTTGAGAACCGACGAACAGTTCAAAGCCAAAATGATTAATTGCTTATGAAATGGAAATATCAGCAAGATCATTGGAAATAATTTGTATTTTCAATGAATCAAAATTGAATTACCGACTGAAAACTATTATTTAAAGTAATTCACTAAACAAATCAATCACTTGACAAATTACTCAGTCGAAATGGATATGATGGATTAACTACACATACGAGTGATCCTAAATTCATTCATCAATCGACTTAAAAGCACATTTCGAATCACTTGACATCAGCTTTGTTGAATGGAAATCTTTTTCAAACTTAATGGAACATGATGATACTGTCACATCATCTAATAAATGTTTCAAAGTACCGAGTTTTCTTTCTTTCAAATTCTTTTCCCCTCTTTCGAGTTCTTTTTCACTCGATACGAAATTTCGTCACGTCAATTTTCAACCAAACAGATTTCGTATTCCTCTGAAATCCAATTATTTCGTCTAAAACCGCAAGGTATCTGTTTGTGGTATAGAGTGAAATGTCCGCATTTTCCATTTGTAAAATAAATCAGTCAATTTCATGAACTCGTTGAACAATTCCAAGTGATATGCGAAGTAAATTAACTCCATACTATCGAATGATACCAATTTCAATGTGATATATATGAAACGATGTGCAAAAACAGATGAGTGGCCCGAAAAGAAGAGAGACAACACAGATAATCAGGTTTATTATCGAATACGTGAAAATGAATGAAATATCTACGTATGTGCATTTCGCTTGCCATTTAAATATATATTCAAGTTCTACAATCGAATAATAGATTGAAAGGCAATCGGATGACTAAAGTCCAAGCTGATCTAAGTGATTATTGTTTTCTCGCTTTTTATTATCCAAAAGAATGCATCACAAATCGGTTTTTGATTACAATGAAAATAGGTTGAGATAACAACGATAACGGGTTCTATTCTTCAAATTAAATGGAATTTCATTTCTCTCACTCTCTCATCGAATTATGTTGGCTAGGTCACTCATTCGGCATGTCATAAAAATACATCGTATGAGATTGGCATTTTTCACGGATAGTGTTAAGCAATATTGTATCATCAGTCATCACACTTCTGTTTTGTGCGTTCTACTTCATACACATATTCCATTCTCATGAACGTAGTAAGGCAAAAGAGAAGCGTATGGTTGATATTATTTAATTCACCAATAACTGTGTTAACATATTCGAATGCCATATGGGATATATATGTAGATTTGATGGCCGCGACAGGAATATGCTGTTATATTCTATATGCATGCGTACGAAAATGTCAATTGAAAACCGAAAAAAAGAGAACCAAACGTAAGAGAAAGACGAGAAAAAAGAATAACGTCATGTATATGCGAAATTCACCGATGACAGTATTGAGGTCACATTTCATCACCATTGGTTGAATGGCCCACGTCGTGTACGTAGCCAAGTGTCTGCCGGTCCATCTTTGCAGAGCTCCTGAGTTATTTAACCCAAATGTTCTCGAAAGATACTGCTACTTTTGAACTGAATACGAACGAATCGTGTTACGAAAATCATTTTCACACTTGAGATAGGGGATCATGTGAGAAAAGAGAATCATATGAACGAGTGTTCATTTGAACACGATGACGTTTCATGGGAAGCATCATGAGACGACAATTTTTCTGATGTGAAAACCGCACTAATGACCGCGATTGAGTGAATTGAAAGTTCAAATATTTTCCAAGCGCATTCTAATACAACTATGATACAACGTAACAGAAGATTATGATAGTTTTTTGTATGAAACACACGGCAAATTTCACAGCAGGGTGGCAATCAAATATTGTCTAAATTATATTTCATTAAATGAAACTTGAATCAACGAGGTATAATTGGTTGGGGGTTTTTGTGCTTTGCTCTTTTTGTCGTAATTTCATTAACTGTTACCGGTGTTATGTATTCTTGACAATGCGTAAACACCGTAGCAAATACATAAACGTTCTCTACGCTTTCGAATGGATTGAGTTTCAATCCAACTGGATAAGTTACTTCACCGAGCTACCACTTGTCTGGAACAAAGACACAAGAGATCTACTGTTTTAGACACATTTTAAGTGATCACGCACTTTACTCAAACAAAACACAACAAATATCGAAGAAATTACAGTGAATATCGAACAAATTGGAAACGAAACAGGCGCACGATTTCTGTGATTGAACGAAAAACAAGAGGCAAACCACAAACTCTTTTTTTTTCAATCGAACGATTGTAACGATTTGTGTTTCACAGCGCCGCTTTTGTGTGTATTTTCTTCCAATTTGTAATTTGTAGTTGATTTAACGCATCATTCTCATCGCCAAAATGGGCATTATTCATGCGATTGAACGTGATTGTACGCTGTTCATTTGTTTCTCATTAGAACGAGCTTAGAGAAGAAAAAAGCAACCAAAGAAAGATAGAGAGGAAAAATACTTTGCATTTTATTGCTACCATAATGGTAGCCCGACAATGTGCCTTCTGTTCGTGTACAATTGTAACATGTGTATTTGAGATTTAAAGCGCAAATGTTCGTGTTGTTCTTCTTTTCTCTCTCTCTCTCTCTTTTGTCCCTAAACAAATACGGCGCCACGGGCATCCACCCAATTTACCATACGAATGATTTGCACAATGACCGACGGCCGAAAAGCACATGAAACCAGCGAAACGATTGTATGAGGCATGGAAAATTGACCATTAAAAAATAAAATTGCCAAACGATTTATTGACTCTTCTCGGCAGGAGAGAGAGAGAGAAAAAAAGAGATTCTCACTTTTGTTTGGGCACGGCCATGGTACAGTGATACAATAATAGAGTGATACACTTTTTTAAAATGCAAACGAAAAAAGAATGGAAAGAAATGCTTGTTTCGCATATTCGTGTTTGCTGACGATGTTACCGGTCGCCGCGCGTTCGTTGCTTCGTTATCTCTCCCATTATTTACATACCGCTTTATGCCATCTCGTT